TGTGGCTGTCCAGTTTTCCAAACACCATTTGTTGAAGAGACTATCTTTTCTCCATTGTATGTTCTTGGCACCTTTGTTGAAGATTAACTATTGGTAAATGTGTGGTTTTATTTCTGGGCTTTCAGTTCTGTTCCATTGATCTGTGTGCCTGTTTTTGTACCAGTACCATGCTGTTTTGATCGTTGTGGCTTTGTAGTACGTTTTGAAGTCAGGGATTGTGATGCCTCCAGCTTTGTTTTTTTTTTTTTTCTCTCAGGATTGCTTTAGCAATTCGGGGTCTTTGGTTGCCCCATATGAATTTTAGGATTCTTTGTTCTATTTCCATGAAGAATGTCATTGGAATTCTGATTGGGATTGCATTGAATCTGTAGATTGCTTTGGGCAGTATGGACCTTTTAACTATGTTTATTTTTCCAATCCATGTGCATGGAATCTCTTTCCATCTCTTTATGTCATCATCTATTTCTTTCAATAATGTCTTATAGCTTTCATGTATAAGTCCTTCACCTCCTTGGTTAAATTTATTCCTAGATACTTTATTCTTTTTGTTGCAATTGTAAATGGAATTGTATTCTTGACTTCTCTTTCTGTAAGTTGGTTGAGTATAGAAATGCAACTGATTTTTGTAAGTTGATTTTGTACCCTGCAACTTTACTGTAGTTGTTAATTATTTCTAATAGTTTTCTGATGGATTCTTTAGGGTTTTCTTTATATAAGATCATGTTGTCTGCAAACCGTGAGAGTTTCACTTCTTCACTCCCTATTTGGATTCCTTTTATTCCTTTCTCTTGCCTAATTGCTCTGGCCAAAACCTCCAGTACTGTGTTGAATAAGAGTAGTGATAGTGGGCATCTTTGTTGTGTTCCTGTTCTCAGAGGGATGGCACTCAGTTTTTCCCCATGGTGTATGATGTTGACTATGGGTTTATCATACATGGCCTTTTATGAAGTAGCTCCTGAACTCATTGAAGTGTTTCTCTACACTCTCTTTTAACTCATTGAGTTTTTTGGTGATAGCTATTTTGAATTCTCTGTCATTTAGATTACATATTTCTGTGTCCTCAGGACTGATTTCTGGGTACTTGTCATTTTCTCTCTGGTCTGGAGATTTAATATAATTTTTGATACTGCTAGAGGGTGTGCCTCTGTTTTTGCACATTACGGTATTATTTGGTCACAGTCACCACCTATTGCCACTGGGTGGAGGTCAAGAGCCACGTATTCTGAGCCCTCTGCCTTCTGCTGGGATCCCAGGCACTGGAGCTGTGCTGGGCTGGGGTTGGGGGTGGTGCTTTCTTTGGTGTGCTCTCAGGGTTTTCTTGCTCTGCTCTCCTGGAGTGTTGGCTTGATGAGGTCACCCCTCACATGAAAGCTTTTGCCCCCAGAAGAGGGCTTCCCTCTAGGCTGCAAGGGCCCTCAGGGATCTTTGATGTTCCCACAAATGAACGTCCCCTCCTTCCTTCCCTCTTGGAGGCCTCCTGCAGTCCTGGATCACAGTCTTTTGGGGAGGTAGTGAAGTTTTCTCTTACTCTGTTCCACCTCCTCCAAGGGGGCTCTAGTCTCTCTGCCCTCCATCATATGGCTGCGTGGGTCTCTCAGGCGTCTTTTGTGTTGTATTTGGATGTCCTCTGTTGGAGCATGAATAACTTTTTCCTTATATGGTGGAGGGGAGGGATTACCAGAAAAGCTCACTCTTCCATGATGCTGATGTCACTCACTCGCCCAGGATTTATCTTTCTTCAAGCTGGAAGTTTGTGACTTTTGACACCCTTCCTCCAATTCCCCCTCCCCCACCTTCTGCCTCTGGTAACCACAAGTCTGGTCTCTTTCTATGAGTTTGGGTTTTTGCAGTGTTATTTTTAGATTCCACATATAAGTGAGATCATACAGTATGTTTCTCTCTGCCTGATTTATTTCATCTAGTATAATGCCATCTACGTTGTCTCAAATAGTAGGATTTCCTCACTTTTATGGCAGAATAATATTCCACTGTGTCTGTATATATATATCTCACAACTCCTTTATCCATTTATCCACACTTAGGTTAGGTTCTATGTCTTTTTTTTTCAATCTTTAATTAAAATCTTTAAGAAGAAGAGCAATAAAGAGACTAGTTCTATCACATGTTAAAGCATATTTTAAATTGACAGCAATTAATATAGGATTGACCTAGTATAAGAGTGAAAGGTAAAGCAATAGATCAGAATTTATAGCCCAAATTAAACCCAACTATCAAAAATGCAGTATAGTATAAAGCAGGCCTAACAATTCAAGAAGTAAATAAGTTAAACTGTTCAGTAATTTAAAAAAAAAAAAAGTCTGTTTGGACCTCTACTTTTAATCACATGCCAAAATAAATTCTAGCTGGATTAACTGTTTTACAAACAGAGACCTGCGGAGGCCGGGAGAGACAGGACCAGTCTGTGCTCATCACTGCGTCCCCAGGGCCTCCTCCAGGCTGCTGCACGGCTGCCCCAGACAGAAGAAACTAATTGAGCTCCCTCTCTGCTGCCCACTGTTTGATCTTGGGCAAGTCGTTCTGCTTCTCTGCCCGATAAAGGGGGGATGGTAAAGATATTCAGAGCATGAGAACACTCATCATAAACTTTAAAATGCCATCCAAATCAACGGGAGGAGTAAACATTAGAGAGCTGCATTCATCCAGGTCACTACTACTCAAATAAGCTGAGCATTAATATTTTAGTGATAAGAACGATGCCCATTTTCTTAGTAACCCTCTTTATTTAATAAAGTAGACAATTTAAGTTGTAAGAATATACACTTTCCCTCAGGGACTCAGTAAAATTATTTTAATTTTGAAAAAGATGCATCCCATAAACACGTTTATTTTTCCCGAATTAGCCCTTTAACCAAAAAAATGGTCTGGCCTCACTGCTTTAAGGGATTGAGATTTTCTTTTCACTGCTACTGTCAGGAGGCCTAAAGGCAGGAAGCAGGCCCATGACGTCCGTGAAGGGCAGGAGTGGAGGGAGGGTTGGGGGGTGGCATGGCACACCAAAAGGAAGTCCTGGAATTAGAAAGACCCTTATGCAACCTTGAGCAAACTGTCTGCCTTCTCCTGGTCTCCAAAACCAGAGATGCCAACCCTGACCACACAAATAAAAAGATGAAAATGAGGCAACTTACAGGAAGCCCCCAGCCCCCACCACAGGGAGCTCGTCAGACAGCATGCTTGAGTAAATGTCGGCCCCCTTCTAGCTCAGGAAGCTATCCCAGGCTTTCCTCTGCCTGCCTGACTTCTCTAACAATCCCTCTCCCCTGCCCAGGAGAGCCCTTCAGCTTCAGGGAGAGGTCTGAGGTAGTTCACAGGTTGTTTAGTCATTCAAATTCCAGGAAGAGCTGCATGCTCCCCTCCCCTCCCGAACTCTCTCCCCGCCCCACAGCCCCACCCAGTCACTTTCTGCTAGGATATTCACACTAAGGTATGGTGCTCCATGGGTGACAAAGCACGCGCTGCGGCCAGAGGCACTTGGGGCTGCCCAGTGTTGCAGCCCTGCAGGGCGTGCTCACACTTCCTTGGCAGTGGCTGAGCCAAGGCTCACACTAGGCCGACTGCAGTTGCGGTGCTGGGACTTAGCTTCATTCTCCACCTTATCCACTGCAGGAAGGCCCATAAACATAGTCAAGGTATAAAACAGAACTTTATAAGGTCTTGCTGTCAAGTAATGAAATTGATGACACAGCCTCCTTTCCTGCAATCACATCTTGTACCTTCAGGAGTGAGAAACTAGGGAATACATATAGTTACAATTTGTCACAGCTAAATAAAACAAGGTCTCGTATTGTTCATCCAGTTTAGCTCAGGTTTAAAGCACTTAGTCCCTTGACTGGCGCTGGAAGTGATGGTGCTGGTGTAACAGCATCAACAGTTCCTTCCCAGGACCATTTTTAAATCACTTCCCACTGCTTTGCTGGCCTCTGTGTACTGGGTTCTTTGTCTTGAGATCCTGATCCCATCAAATTTTCCTCATTAGCTTGGCCTCCTGGAAGAATGGTTGTACTGCCTTTCTTTGATGTGTGCGGTGTGGATCCCACAACTTCTATTATACGGGAACAACAGGCCCAAAATGGAGTCACTGGTGCTAAGGCCCACTGAGACTTCTAGTTAACCAAATTGCAGTTTCAGCCTCTCCCAGGAGTAGAATTTTAAACCAATCAGTTTGGAATCCCCTGGTCAATACTAGTGAAGTGAGCTGCCTGATAGACCCCTCCCCTCCCCAAGACAAGGTGAGCTTGCCTGAAATAATCCACTTTTTTTAACTTCTTTGTCCCATCCTGTTCCTGCCTATAACACCTTTAATTTTGTACAGCTCCTCTGAGCGCCTGTCTATCTGCTGGATGGGGTGTTGCCCAACTCATGAATCACTGAATAAAGTCAATTAGATCTTTAAATTTACTCAGTTGCATTTTTGTTCTTCAACAATACTCGTATAGTCTCCTCTACCTTTTGCCTTTTTTTTTTCTGATCTCAAACTATTCTTTGTCTCTTGTTCTAGATCTGCCACTATTCACATATTTCTTTCATCCTTTTATGTTTTTTTCATTCTTTTTGTTATTTTACTTGGGGAGTGTATCATTGTTTAAGCATTATGAATCTTTCTTTGTAATATCTCATTCACACCTTGACAATACATACCTATTTATTTTAAAAGCAAATTCTATTCATCCACTCGACAAATATTTACTGAGCGCCAACACTGTGTCTAGCACTCAAGCTACGGTAGAGTTCATCTCACTCACAGAATTTACAGTCACAGGTTGGAAAAGGCCATGTGGATATATTCACTTCACCAGACTACAAAGAATAAGAAACAGTTTTGATATGAAGCAATAGTAGGCAAAGACCTTTTCCAGGGCACAGGAAAAGAAATACTTTAAATAGCATAATAAATCCAAGGAATATAAAAAGAAAAGAGCCCTCTTCTATTTTATGAGTAATATCAGTAATTTAGAATTAGAACAAAGAAAATATTTCCAAACCTCACATCCACTGTGTTATTCGACTCATGGTCAAAGACTTCAAAAGGCTCTTTGATTTTTTTGTGAAATTCTGCTACTGCTATCTCTGCAAAAGACAAAGTAAATAAAAATTATTTTACTTCAATTTTGAATCCAAAACAAAAATTTCAGTAACTCAGTTGGAAATTCTTAATAAGGAAGAACATGTAGCACTCTCTCCTAATCTTCTTAACGTGTCATGTAGCACGTTGAGACGATCTCAAAGGTGGAACAGACTCATTTTCCTTACCTTTTTTACTGGGGCATAATGCACATCCAATATAGTACCAAAGGTGCACCAATCTGAAGTACACAGCTCTGGGAGTTTTTACATATGCATATAGGCGGGGAGCCACCACCAGATTAAGGTCAAGAACATCACCAGCCCGGTCCATCTTCCCTCCAAGCAGTGTGGGTGGAGCCAGGGCCTGAGAGGCAGAGGGAATCCAGTGCCACAGACGTCGAGTGCAGGTCACTAGTGTGCCCGCTGCCGCTGAAGGGCCTCTGCGCTTGAGGGGGACTGATTGCACAGGAGGCACACGAAAGCACCGTGTGATGCTCCCTCAAAGAGCTCTCAAACTAAGGCCTAATTATATCAAACAATTAAAGTCATTTACTCAATAAATAGTTACTGTGTACCTACTCTGAGCTAGACGCACTTCTAGGTGCTGAGGTTATTGTAAGGAATGAAATAGACAAAAATCCCTGCCGCCGGGGAGCTATTTTTATTGGAGGAGATGTATCAGCTTACACACGTTTGATAAAATATATGGTAAGTCAAATGGTTCTGGAAAAAAATAGATCACGGAAGGGACAGGAGGAGTGCTGGGGGTGTGGGTGGGGAGAACGGGAAGCCATGGCGGTCTGGGAAGGTCTGCCTCAGTGACACGGTGACTCCTGCACAGACCTGAAGGAGGGAAGGGCCAGCCTTGAGAATATCTGCAGGGAGGTTTTTAGGCAGAGAGACCAGCAACAGCAGAACTAGGAAATAAGGTCAGAAAGGTGTGTTTGGGGTGGAGGATGGATTCTGCAAGGCCTCTGTAGCTGCTTGAAGCATGTTGTCTTTTACTTTGAAGGAGCTGAGAAACCACTGGAAGGTTCTAAGCAGTGAAGGGAGGTGGTCTGCCTTATATTCTCTTCGGCTGTTATGTTAGCAATACCTGGAAAGGGCCAGGGTGGGGCAGACAGCCCAGCTGGGAGGCTGCGCAGTATTCTGGGTGAGAGACTGACGGTGTTTCCGACTGGATGGCAGCGGTGGGGTGGGGAGAAACGATAGGAGTCTGTATATATTCTAAGGGGCAGAGGCTTTGCTGATGGGTTTGATGTTAGGTGTAGAGAGAAAGAAAGGGGGTGAGGTTGAGTCCAAGGTATTTGGCTGAGTGGAAGAATAAAGGAAAAAAATGCAATCAAGTCTCAAAATTTGTTTTCCAAACAGAAAGTACAACAGGACACTCAGAAAGGGAAAGTAAGCATGAGTTTAGATAACTATTTTAATTATAAATATAATATCATCAAATTGTAGAAAATGGGAAAAATTTTAACTACTCACATTCCCTTTACCCTAATAGAACCACTAATCATTTTGCTGTATTTTCCTCCAAATTTTCTTTATACACAAGCTTTTGTGTATAGCGTTTAATAACTACCATTCATTCACTCAACAAAAGCTGACTGAATGAACAACATCTACCAGGTTCTGTGTCAGCTACTGTATCTACATTGAAACCAGAGGGGTAAGTATCTCACTTTTAGAAAAAAAAGAAAACAAAGCTCAGTGAAGTTAAGCAACTGGCCCCAGATCAGAGTTATTAGACGGCAGAGCCGGACTGACCCAGACCTTTCTCACTTGAGGATCCTGCTCTCCCTACCCCCCAAGTGCTGGTATTCATAGTGCAAAGCGATTACTCCGAATTACTCTACTCAGATGTCATATTTTTCCAGGATGCAACATAATCTAATTAATCTTCCATTTTTAACAGCACCAAAGGAATGTAACACAATTTACTGATGTTAATTTTTCTTTATTATAAATAACATGGCAGTGAGCGCCTTTTACTAACTTAATAAGCAAAAAATAAATATCTCTATTTAAATTTGCACTTTGATTACAAGCGAGTCTGAATAATGATCCGCATGCTTGTTTGCTACCTCTGCTTTCTACGTTATGACTTGTCTGTTCATCCTTACTGGGATCTCTCTTAACAATTTGTATGAGCTCTTTAAATAATAAAGACTTAACCGTATGTCATAGTTACCACAGACAATTCTCCAGGTTAATTGTTTGCATTTGTTTTTCTAAAATGAAAACAGTTCCATTCCTTTCTGACCATCAAAATCCTATATGATTACTGGAGGAAAAAACAAGGGTACGGAAGAGTTTAGAATAAGTAAAAATCACTTCAAATCCTACCACAAAGAGTCAACTACTCTTCATGTTGTCCTCTAATCTAATTTTTCACCAAGCAATAAATTGCATCTTTCATTCTCAAAAACTATTTATTACATCATCATTTTTAATGACTGCTTGGTATTCCGTTATAGAGCTTTATCATGATTTATTTAACCAACCCTCTAATGTAGATATTTAGGTAGTCTCCAATTTTTCATTGTTCTAATAATTCTTTAGTGAACAGTCTTGCCCAATTCATCTTTGTGCATCTGTCTTCTTATCTCACTGAAATACAATGAGTTGACTACAGTTGAATTTGCATGGGCTCTTAGGATGGTTCTTGTTAGTCATAATAGTCCTTGGGACGATCTCACTGGTCATAACACTGCCACTGCACAAAGCTGATGTCTGCTCTTTAAATTTAAGATCACTTTTAAAGTATATTGTCTTTTATTTTTAGGTAGTCACATCTGTTGAGATTTCTTCTCACTCTTTAAAATTTAGAAACTTATCCTTTGAAACAACCAAGAAGGAAGGAGAAAATCATCCTTTTTCTAGAGGTTTGGTGAGTTCTCAACTCTATTTTCTTCTACAATTAAAAACTATATTTACATTTTCATCCATCTGAAATTTATTTTGATGTGATTCAAAATGAAAGATTAATTTCTAATCTTAGCCCAGTAACTTCTAATTTATTCAGCACTTGAGTACTTTCCTCCCACTTTAATGTGTTAGAGTCTTTTATGTGATGGAGACGGCCCCCATTGATTATCTATTCTATTGGCTCCATTCTGATTTGCATGTCTGTCTAGTCTTATGCTATTACCACACTATTTACTTATTGTTACTGTATTGGTCTTCTTTTTAGGAACATTCATTAATATTCTCACCAGTTTTTTCTTTCAAGTGAAATTTATAAATCCAAAAGAAATTTAGAAATTCCAAATAAAATACCATTGGAGTTTTATTGCTGTTGCAATTAAGCTGTACACTGAGAAAAAAATTAAAATGTTTAATTTTCACATCTAAGAGATACATGTTAGATATATACCCCTTTTTATAGCTCTAAATTAAATATTACATATTATGGTTTTCCTCATATAAGTAACACATACCCCTCCAAGAGATTGTGCCTTGAGCATTTTATGGGTTTTGCAGGTATTGTGAGGGAATCTTTTCTTAAGCCCTATAATTTCTGATAGCTGAAGTAAACATTGATTTTTTAAATTTTACTATTGATCTTATATCCATTTCCTGAAACTTTTTGTTAGTGATAATCTTTTTTCAGTTGATTATTTTGTATTTTCTGATAATACATTTTGTCTCTTCTTTTCAGGATTTGTACTTCTTATTTCTCCTTCATGATTTATGACATTGGCCAGAACTACCAAAACAACTTTAATCCATAAAATGATAAGGATAATCCTTGTTTTTTAAAAACATTATTATTGTTTAATTGATTAGAACACTAGTCTTTTACCAGTAAATATAATGTTGACTTGTGTTCTAAAATAGGTATTACTTATAATTTAAAGCAGTATTCTCCCATTTCTATGTCTCAGTTTTTATGTTAAGAACAGGCACTAACTTTTAACAACCTCTTATCAATATTTTCTAGATTTTCTAAAATGTACTCTGTTTCACACTTGTTCCTCAAGGTGCTTTGCAATAAAAGGCTTCAAAGATCAAAAATGTCTGAGAAACTTTGAATATTATGTTCTCCTTTTAGAGATTTATAATGCATACTAGTATAGTAAAGTCTTTGGGATATTCTACAGCTAAGAAACTTGTTAACTATAACACAGCATTTTTCCGAATTTTGTTGATCATGGAATCTCCTTTTCCCAGTTATTATATGTCAAGACTAATCAATGCCTTAATTGAAATCTGAGACTTCCCTAAATCAGGAATCCTCATGCACTGGACACTTCTGTGTTGTGAACAGATTACACGGCCACCCAAAAGTGTTGATCCGCTCATCTCTCACTGTGACCAGATAATGTCAGGCAGCTGGAAGCATCTATTCCACAGCTTCCCAGAAGGAGGCTCAGAGCAGTACAGGAGCTGATGGCAGCCCCTTGGTCTGCACAGGTGGCAGGCACAACAAATGCCATCAGGCACCCACTGCTCCACATTGCCAAGGTGATATACCACACGGGCTCCTATTTCAGAAGCCAGATCCTCAATGCACCACTGCCCACCGTGAACAAGGAACTCAATGGAACCACTGGAGAATTTCATGCCCCAGATTCCCAAGGAGCATAGTGGGTAATGAGTTGGGAGTGAGGGGGCTCACGGCCCTAGGAAGCAGCCTCAAATCCTTATCTTTACCCATATCAGCTACTTTTGTCCCTCTGCAGCTGACATGCCCTTCTAGTAGCAGCCAAGCTTACTGCGTGGCTTTAACAAGATGTGCATGTTATATAAATCATATCTTCATCATTATTTTGAAATAATTGATGTGAGAAAGTTCAATTGGATTTAAAAAATTGCATTATCACAAAACTTTTTGTTATATTTATCAATTAAAGGATGTTTTTAGATTCTATATATATCATTTCAACTGTTAGAAATTTTTTCGTGGTTGAGAAAAATGCTTTTACGTTTTTGCATAAACAAAGTTTCTCATGGTGGTAAACTATCAAAAATTGAGGAGCTCACATTAAAAAATCTGATCA